TTATTGAGCGTATGCCATATGCCAGGCTCCATGGCGGGCACTGAGGATACAGAGAGCAGAACAGAGTACCTGAAATGCAAGGTAACATTGCACCACAGAGTATCACGGGCCCCCTGAGAAGGTGAACCAATCCTGTGACAAGAGAAGTGTTTCCCAGAGGGGAAGCTTGGTCCTGATGTTGCATGAGTAGAGGTCACATGAGACAGAAGCAATAGGGTTGGGGAAGCTTCCATATAAAGAAAAGGGACTGTGCAAACATGATCCATTGGAGGGAACTGAGAATGGCTTTGTGTGGCTGGAGCAGTCAGTGTGTTTTGATAACTGGCAATGGATGAGTTTGGAGAAAAATGTAGTGGTCATATTCAGATTTGAAAGTTTCTATGAATCTTCTAAGAGATTCCAGTTTAATTCTGAAATCGATGAAGAGCCAAGAAAAGTTTTAAGCCATGGAATGCCATGATTGTATGTGCTTTCAGGAAGATAATTTGATGGGTGAGCAGACTGAGGGAAGGAGACTGGTTAGGAGGCTGGCCCCATGGTCCCAGGGAGGAAGGCTGAGAGTGTGAACCAAAGCACGTGCAGTGGAGTGGGAGCAGCAACTCCTGCAGAGGAGAACTGAGTAGCTTCTGATCAAACTGATGTAGGAAGAGAGAGAAAGGAAGGAGGCTAGGAAGACGCCCTTGTGTCTGGCTTGGGCAGCTGGAGAATGGTGGTATCATTCACAGAAATAGGAAGAACAGAAGGGAGAACAGATTTTGTGGGGGAAGATGGTGAGCATGGTTTTGGACATGTTGAATTCAAGACGCACATGGGAAATCCAACTGGTGTTACTTAGTAGTCAGACATATGCAACAGGAGCTCACCAGGAAGCTCTAAGTGAAGTCAAAACCATGTGACTGAGCCTCTCATAGGAGAACATGTGCAGTTAGGAGAGAAGGGGCCATGGTCAGTATGCTGGCGAGTGTCCACAGTTAAATAATGGACTGATGGAGAGGAGTTCAGCAAGGAAACCAAGAATGAATGAAGCGAGAACTAAGAGGGAAGGATCACATGGAGGCAGGTGCCGCAGCCTGTGGTTAGGAGCAGAAGCTTTGTGGCTGAGACTGGCTTGGTGCTCACCAAGCCCATCTCTCCCTTCCTGGGCACATAAATAAGCTCCATTTCTCAGCCTCTTTGCAACTAGGTAGAGCCAGTGACTAGGGTTGCTACTGAATGTGAGATGAGGTAATGTGCAATTAAATGCAGGTGAATCTTCCTCAAGTTCTCCTTCCCATCCATTATCCCTTTGGAGGTCACATGTAAAAGGAACTCTGGAAGGAAAGTTCTCAGATTTTGAGTTTTATTAATTATACCAGCACAAACTAGCCTATCTTTCCTGCTCTTGGCTCTGGAGTCACACAGCTGGATTTGAATCCTAGCTCTACCTTTTGAATCCTGGCTTTACCTCTTGTCAACCGTGTGACCTTGGGTAAAATTCTTAATTTCTCTGTGCCTCAGATTCCTCATCAGTAAAATTGGGATAATAATAATATAGTTGTCTGAGGATAAAATGAGGTAATAAATATGAAGTACACAGACCAGTATTAAAAGCTCTAGAAATATTGAAAGTTAATGGAAAGAATGTCAGGAATGGGGGAATGGTTCACGACAGGAGTCAAATGCACCCTGCTGCCTATTTTTATACGACCTTTCAGCAAGAATGAATTTTACATTTTTAAATGGTCAAAATAAATGACATGAAAATTATATGGAATTTGAATTTCAGTATCCACAAATAAAGTTTTACTGCAACAAAGCCACATTCATTTACATATTGTTATGGCTGCTTTTGCTCAACGATGGCAGAGTTTGAGTAGATGCAACAAATACCATATGGGCCCACAAAGCCTAAAATATTTACATTATCTGGTCCTTTGCAGAAGAAGTGTGGTGATCCCTAGTATACAGTGTCAAATGCAGCAAAGGTCAAGAAAGATAACTAAAAAGGGTTAACTGGAATTGGCAAAAGATTACTAGCGATCTTGTTAATGGCTTTATTGGAGTGGGGAAAGTGGAGAATAGATTTTGGTGCCAGGCAAATCAAAGTTTGATTCCTGACTCTACAGCTTGCTAGCTTTATGGTCTTGGGAAGTCAGCTAACTTTTGTGAGCTTCAATTTCCTTGGCAGTAAATTAGGGATTAACAGAGCTTACTTCCTGAGTTATTGTAAGGATCAGCAATAATGCATGTAAACCATAAAACACATTCCTGGTTTAGAATAGGTGCTAAATAAATGCAAGCTTTTGTTTCATTTAATCTGCTGCAAACAAAATTGTCATTCCTTTATAGGAATTACATTTTCACTTTTTAGTTTTTTAAAAGAATTTTTTTTTTTTTCTGGGCTTTCCAGCAAAAACTAGAAAACCTGCTAGACAAATTCTAAAAGAGCTGTAACACTATATTTTCACTTTTAATATTTTAGGTTTCTCTTCCATCTTCTGATGATTTATATTTTAAGTCACTGCTCAAATCTCACCTCTTTAATGAGGGCATACCATTTAATACAGACCATCCTGATTAATGCGGTAATCTGTTCCTCCCCCAGCATTCCTAACCCCGTTACCCTGTTCTACTTTCTTTTCTCATAGAGTTTATCACCTCTGACAGTGTAGAAAACTGACTAATTTACTATGTTTATTGTTTACTCTCTATCTTCCCCACTCTGATGTTAACTCCTTGCCACAACAGCCCTTGCTTGTTTTATGTAATTATATTCTAAGTGCCTAAACAGAAACTGTTACACAGTCGGTGTCCAATTAATACTTGTTGAATGACTAAATGAAAAAAGAATAGATGAGGATTTAAAAAAATCCTGCTCAAGACTGGATATGTTCCTTCTATCTTGGGACTGGGACTTGTCTTATTCATCTCTGTAAAATTCTCAACTATTATCTGTTAAAATATAACCTTGGCTCCATCCCCTCCATTCTCTCGTTCTGGAATTCCTTTTAGAATATGTTGAACCAATCATTTTATCCTTGATGTCTCCTAAGTTCTTTCTCATATTTGACAACTATTTAGCTCTGTGTTTTATTCTATGGCAATTTCCTCTACTCTATCATTAAGTCCCTTTTTAGCTGCATCTAGTCTACTATTCAACTGTTAATTGAATTTCTATTTCAATGACAATATTTTTGTATGTGCCTATAATGCCTGTTTCTTCCCTTTTTCTTTCTTTTTTTCCATTTGTTCATGTATTTGTTTCATGGCTTCTAATCTTCCCTTTCAATATTTTGGATATCCTTATACTATGATTTCTTTTAGATTTTTCTGTTCTTTCTAGTTCTTGGGGATGTGGAGTCTTCCATTTCTTTAACTAGCTGACTTCCTTGTTGTGGATCATTTCTTTGTGCAGTCTGTAATTTTAGATTGTAAGTAGTTGTTTTACATTAGCCTCTGCTGGGGTCTTATGGGTCCGCAACTGAAAAGGCTCCAAATACATATCATTGAATGGCCTGTCTTTGGAGGCTAGGATGGAAAGCAGTACCTTGTGGCAGATGCAGTACAACCTCTTTCTTTTGTAAATTGCCCAGTCTTGAGTATGCTAGAGAATGTGCCCTAAATTCACATCCCTACTGTGAAACTATTTATATAACCTTGGGTAAATTACTCTTCTAGTCCCTCTTTTTTTGTCTGTGATATAGAGATAATAATTCCTACTTTCTAGAGATGTTGTGAAGAATTGGTGAGTTAATATAAGAAACTCGGCACAACATTTTGCATGTAGTAAGTGCTTAATAGATGTTAAAAATTACTATAAACATGTGTAGCTATTATAGCACGTGCCAACATCATCTTCTTTCCTTGTGCTATAAGGAAAGAACTTTATACTCAAGAAAATAGCTTCTGAATATGTATATGAAATATACAGCCAGCCATTACATGGGGACATTGGCCAGATCTGTTTGCTTTACTTGTGATGAATATTAGTTAAAGATGGGAACAAAACTCCCCCCAAGAACATGTTCACTTGGCTTTTAGCCATTGCTGAGGAGCACTGATGAGAGGCAGAAGAAAGTTTTGTACATTTTTCTTTTTTAAAAATAAAGCCTAATTAGGGGGTTGGCTCATTTGCCAACTATTTTGGTTCATTAAAATATAGCAGCAGAGAGAGTTCTTCTGCTGAGAGGAAAATGACCCAGAAAAATGTCTTCAGTTTTATTTAAAGAGAAAATGTATTTAACTTATTGGCTGTGCTTTCCTTGGTCATCATTCCCTTCCACAGGTTAGTGATATGGTTTGGCTCTGTGTCCCCACCCAAATCTCATCTTGTAGCTCTCATAATTCCCACAAGTTGTGGGAGGGAGCCAGTGGGAGATGACTGAATCATGGGGGCGGGTCTTTTCCATACTGTTCTGATACTGAATGGGTCTCACAAGATCCCATGGTTTCAAAATCAGGAGTTTCCCTGCACAAGTTCTCCGTTTGCCTGCTGCCATCCATGTAAGACGTGACTTGCTCCTCCTTGCCTTCCGCCATGATTGTGAGGTGTCCCCAGTCATGTGGAACTGTGAGTTCTCCATTAAACCTCTTTCTTTTATAAACTGCCCAGTCTCTGGTATGTCTTTATCAGCAGCTTGAAAATGGACTAATACAGTTAGCAATAAAATAGCAGAGCCCTGAACCTGTAGCTGATGCTCAGTAAATATTATTAGTTTATTAGTGGGAAGGGATAGAGACACAGGCAAATTCTTGGGCAAGAGAACCTCATTTCTATCCCATGTTAACTTTCGATGATAAACCTTTCTTTAATTCACTGTGTTTTGGATCTTTGGATAAGGGAGCGTCAAGAAGCCAAACTTAGTGAATGAAAGCTGTAGACTACTGTAATTTATCACGTAATATGTTATCAGTTATCTGTATATATTTCACAAAATGCGTTTTTATAATTCAAATTTTCATAAAACAAAGGTTCAACTTAAAAACATTTAAATAAAGAACTATTTTTAGATTTTAATTACCTGATCTTCATAATCAGATCCTGTATCAATGATCTCTCCTGTGTCCAATATCATCGAAGGATCAAGGTCACTTGAACCTAAGATTAGGAAAGAAAAGATAAGTGGATAGAGGTTGTCATGTATGTTTCTAAAGCAAACCGTCTCTCACTAGGTTTCCATATTTTCCTATGTTACATTAAATTCACAAATATTTCTGGACTCTTCTCATCTGCCAGGTACAATGTTTTGCTGGAGATTGAAAATGCAGAGACTCTGGGCACTCTCTACATCCTTAAGAAGAAGAAAATACTGTGAGGAAGAATAATTTATCAACAAGAGGTTATTACTAAAGGTTCAGCAACCCAAGAGAGTGAGCTACTGATTCTGAATAGTAGTAGAGATGATGGTGGAGTTAATTAAGATTATTCTTCAGGTACTAATCTATGATCCTGAATTTTGACGGTAAATGCAGGTTGTCCAGGAGGGGGAGCAGTTTCAGGATTTGCAATAACAATGGAAGTAGAAGGAACACCATGAGCAAAGTACAGAGTGGGAGGAGACTAAGGGGCTTCCAGAAATAGGAAGGGCTAAGTTTGCTTACTCCATGAAAACTTGAGTTTTTCCTCAAGCCTTCAGGTCATCTTAGTTGCTGAAGGTAAGAAAAATCAGGTTAACTTAATGTATGAATAGAGAGATTATTTCCCTTAGGTACTGCAGGTTTCATTAAATCACTCACCCATTAATCCCCAAGGCTCAGACTTAAACTGGTAATTTTTACAGTGGGACTTCTGAAGCACAACTGATTCATCATTCTTATTTAATAACTCTTTCCTGCTGGGAAATATATATCATCTAACTACCCAGAAAGACTGAATTCAGTGCTGCCCATAAAATATTATATATCCTGTGAAAAAACATTGTTTCACTGTAAACCAGGCCTTGGCAAATAATTCTTAGTCAGAATATGCAATGAGTAATGCATAATGAATATAAATTTTAAAAAAATGTTAAGCATCTCATACACTTCTCAGATATAAACCTGTCCCCGATGTTGCTTTCATATTTTCTTTCAAAATGAGTCGGGGTATGTCCTTACACAGTCTTTTCTCATCTCTTCTCTTTTTTCTCCCTTCTCTTCTCTTATCATTGTCCCTGCTGTCTACCAACTTGACAAAGTAATAGCCATTACAATGCCAGTGTTTACTGTGTTTACGTCTTTAAATTTTTTTAAAGGATGACAAAGTTTTTCAAAATGGACATATTAAACCATCAAACCACTTTGGAAAAGTAATCATAGAGTTGCCACTAAGAGTTGCATAAGTGTGTTCAGAACAACGCTGGGTGATGCTAGTCACACTGTCTGCACAGCCCTTGCCAGACCACTGTTCATAAGGTGGTTGCTAGAATGGAGTTGGCAAGAATATCCACCATGCTGTTAACAGAGATCAGAAGGGAGAGGTGGGAAGCTTTAATTTACATACATATTTTGAAATTAGTGGGATTATATATAATTTTTCTACCTTGAACTTTTGGTATTTTTTTCAAATAAAGAATTTTGCAAGATGTATCTTGGGGCCAAAATACTTGGCTGTCTTAAAGCCCAGTTTGAAGGTCAGTTTGCACTTATGTTGTGAGGCAGTAAGTATCAGAAAAAAAAAATATATATATATATCTATTTTTATACATTATATTTATATATATTTTATATATATATTATAAGATAATAGACATTTTAGAACTATCAGATCGGTGCAAAAGAAATTGTGGTTTTTGCCATTATTTTCAATGTATATTTCACAGGATCCCACTTCTCATTTTAGAAAAGAGGAAAATGAGATGCAGAGAAGTTAGAAAACTTGGCCTACGTCATGTAGAAAGAGCCTGAGACCAAAGGCAGAGCCAGTAGCTCCTACTGTCTTTCTAACACACCATGCTGACTCCAAATTCTAAGCAGGGGCAATCAAAATGGGTTTATGGGTTTATACAGATCCCCCTTTTGCTACAGTGCTCTACAGGAAAGGACCTGGAGGAGCATACTGCCAAGTCTATGTGCTGAGAAGATGAGGAACAGTGAATAGTTGATGATGATGCAGGTCACAGGGTGGCTGTGGAAATGGAAGAATCAGAAGTGGAATTAAGGAGCCTCATTCAAGCTGGTAGCAATCAATGCTATTGACAGCATCATTAAAGATAACACAAATTTTAGCTGGCTTTCATTACTTGCATCCTATGATTATTATCTGCCACTGACTAGTGGAAGTGGTGATAGCTATTGGATTCAAATGATACCTTCGCTTCACCTGTATTTACAGTGATTCATGCGGAGTGAGTACTGTGATTTGAACGTGAAATCTTATTAAACATAGAGCTGCTTTTAGTACCTGCGTCCTACTTATTTTATTTAATTAGAAACCATTCTTTCCATTGTTTTCAAAAAGGACAACGTGAAGGGCTCTTAAACAGCTCAGTTAACAGATATTACACGTGAATACTTGAAAACACAGCAAGATAATTAGAAAACTACCTTCAGCAATGGTAGAATGACAAGACCTTTGTTTAAAAGAAAGCTTCATGCTTATAAGTAAGAAGAGATTGGATTTCCTAATAAATTTTTTTTTTTCTTTTTTCGACGGAGTCTCGCTCTGTCGCAATAAAATGCTTTTCACAGGAATTATATTGTATCATCAGGGATGAAATTTCTTGAAACATTGTTACTCCTAGCAACAGTATTAATATATCACAGGAGGCAACAGACAAAGGATATCATTATCAGCTTGGATAATGATTGAATGGCTTTCATTTTCTTTTAGCCTTGGTTTCTGGGTTTGCTGGAAATAGGACCTTTAGTAACAGTCTAAGGTTTGACACACAAAATAGAGGGAAAATACAGACAAATGTACACATTACTGCCTTCTTTCATTGAATAATTTAACACATAAAACAACTGCAATGATCTCGTTACTCAAAAAAGACAGCAAAATTAGGATGTTATGAAAAAGTGATCATGTAGCTTTCATTTCCCCCTAGTTTGAATTTTTCAATTTCTTTTCATACTTAAAAATATTCTTTCTATAGATGACAGAGAAAGTTATGAGCTGAAATACAGAACCCCAGAGGAAGTACCCAGGGCTACCAGTTTTAGAATGGCCTTTGGAAATATTATTTTCAAGTTGGCTCCTTAAATTTCAGTGGGAAGATGATACAAATTGGCTTTAGAGGTATCAGAGGCTAACCATATGACTTTCTGGGACAACATTTCATATGTTTTTCCTCCTAGTGGATTTTTTTTTTTTTTTTTTTTTTTTTGAGACGAAGTCTCGCTCTGTCGCCCAGGCTGGAGTGCAGTGGCTGGATCTCAGCTCACTGCAAGCTCCGCCTCCCAGGTTTACGCCATTCTCCTGCCTCAGCCTCCTGAGTACCTGGGACTACAGGCGCCGCCACCTCGCCCGGCTAGTTTTTTGTATTTTTTTAGTAGAGACGGGGTTTCACCGGGTTAGCCAGGATGGTCTCAATCTCCTGACCTTGTGATCTGCCCGTCTCGGCCTCCCAAAATGCTGGGATTACAGGCTTGAGCCACCGCGCCCGGCCAGCCTCCTAGTGGATCTTTAACTGCAAGTTGTAGGAAAATCCTCCTCCCACTTTGAGTACCCCATAAAGACACTCTTACAATTGCAGAGCTTCTTAAGCAGTGAAGGGTGTCTGTGAATAAAACTCCTCCAACCCTTAAACTGCACCCTCTGCGGAAAGCAGTTTCTCCCTTGTCCTGTCTCTCGCAGGGTAGCTTACAGTTTAATTTTCGTTAACAGTTTCGTTATAGTTTAATTTTAACGAAAATTAAACTGTAAGGGTTGTGTTTCATCTCTGAATCTAAGAACAAAACTTAGAAGGTACATGCGTTCAATGCATATGTACCAAATGAGTAAAAATGAAAGGACACGTCCACTTTACCTTTACAGTTCTTGCTCTCATTGATCCACGCTACAAACATTAAATGTCTCCTGTAAGTGCCTGACCTGCATTAAGCACTGACAGTCCAGCTCGAATTCCACAGGCATGGAAAGGGTTCATTACAATGTGTGGGAAGAGCACTGTATTTACTTGGAAAAATATCCTGATGGTATTTGGGACGAGAACTCTTTGAGGGATCTGGGTGTTGGTGGGCTGTCCTGGGTAAGAAGGGGAAGCAGGGAGTTTTTCAGTGACTCCAGGACAGGGTTGGGGCAGGGAGGAAGGCAGAGAGGGAGAAGACAGCAGAAGTAGACCCAGGAAAAGGGGGAAAAGTTGTATTGTGTAAGATGTGGTTTCTTCCCATGAGCCCTCAAATCCACCGCAAAGACAGGAACTCACAAATAGCCTTTTCAATGTGAAAGCCACATACTTTGCACACAGAAACCATTTATTCTTCAGGACAATCCTCTGGGGTAGCTGCTATTATTATCCCCTCTTTATAGATAAGGAGATGGAGGCCCAGAGCAGTTGAGTGATGCAGCCAGATGGCTTTGCTAGTAAGTGTTAGTGGAGGGCTCCATCGAGGGGGAGACACTGCAGACAGGCCTCGAAGAAGCCGACCATCAGAGCAATGGTAGTCTCTAAGAAAAGTCCCGGTACACCTGTGGGTCACAGGGTGCTATTCAAGGGCCTAATCTAGTCTGGGGTGGGGTCTGAGGAAGTCTCCTTGAGAAAAACACCACGTTTACCCTGAGGCACAAAATAGAATCTGGCCAGGTGCAGGATGGGGCTCTATGGGGTTGGGAGAGTGAAGGGATGCAAATGAGGAGAGGCGTTTTCTAAGCAGAGAGAAGAGCAGGTGGAAATTGCCTAAGGCAGGAAGGAACTTGAGGTATTCAGGGAACTGGGGGAAGCTGGTGCCGGTGACATGGGGGAGGTGATGTTGTTGCAGTAACAGGACCACTGCAGGAAAGAAAAGGATTTTGGGGCTTTCTTCCGTGCTAAGGGTACCGGTGGCCAGCCTGCAGGTGTCATTGAAGGTTTTTTGTTTTTGTTTGTTTGTTTGTTTCAGAAAGGCAGAATGATTAGAGCTGCATTCTGTGAAGATCCCCATGGCAGCAGGAGATTCATGACGGACAGGAGAGGCCAGGGATGAGGAATGACAAAGCGTTTGGTGACTGCGGTGGGAATAGAGACAAAGGTTTGGATTCCCAAGGTGCCCCCGCGGAATGATGATCAGTGTGGAGTGTGAGGGCAAGAACGCTTCTGCCTGGCTCCCCGGAGAAAGGTCGAGGTGAGAGAAAGAGAATTGGATGCCATTCATAGGAGGCGATATGGGAGCTGTGGAGCAGCTGAGATTCTGCAGAAAGACTTGAGAGAGAAAAAAACAGTGGAGGGACCAAACCTGGAGGCTGACAATTCACAGAGCAGAGGCCATGGATATGGCTTATTTATTGAGTGAGTCATCAACAGGAGATTTCACCATTGTTCCTTAACAGTGACAGTACCCTGGAGCTACACAGTATCTGCCTCCTGTAGGGGAGGCACCCTTTACTTCTAGTTTACCGCACTTTATTCACCAAGGGCTGTTTTAGAGGAAACAGTTTTATTCTAAGGCTGAAGCAGAAACCAGCTTTCAGGAGGTCTCAGGGGCGGAAGAGTTAGCGGGAGTTGAGGCTGTAAGCACAGAGTCTTCTGTTTATGAGCTCTGAGGTACACAGAGGAGAAAGTAGACACCTGGAAACTGCCGCTAAGGCTCAGGCACTATGCACTTGACCAAGGGGACCTAAAGAGAACGAGGACGCAGCACCTGTCCTCAGGCAGTTTCCTATTGGTACAAAAACCAGCACAGTTGCATCACCGCAGGGCACAAGGCTCTCTAGTGGAGAAACATCACACAGTGCTGGGCGTCCCAAAGAAGGGGCGGCTTAAATCAGCCCCTCCATCCCACTGCATTAGCAAACTGAGGATATCTAGCAGTTAGATATTTGGCATTAGAGGTAGTCATTTCTTTCTTTTTTTTTTTCAGACGGAGTCTCACACTGTTGCCCAGACTGGAGTGCAGTGGCGCGACCTAGGCTCACTGCAAGCTCTGCCTCCCAGGTTCACGCCATTCTCCTGCCTCAGCCTCCCGAGTAGCTGGGACTACAGGCGTCTGCCACCGCGCGCGGCTAATTTTTTTTGTGTGTGTGTTGTTAGTAGAGATGGCATTTCACCGTGGTCTCTATCTCCTGACCTCGTGATCCGCCTGCCTCAGCCTCCCAAAGTGCTGGGATTACAGGTTTCTAAAGCATCTTCTAAATAAAATATTAACTTGAAAAGCACAGGAGTCATAGTATTTTTCAGAACAGCTGTAGTCATGTTTTCATAATCTTACATGATTCTCAATATTTCATCTTTCCTGCAATAGGCCAACTTTTTATAAATCTCATCAGAAAGTTAGGCAGATGAGTTTACATCAGTTACCTGTGTTCTGTGGGTCTGCCCAGAAAGATTACCACCTTACTCTTGTAATTCTGTCTCTCTTTGAAGCTACCTTTAGGTGATTTAAAATGTTAAGTGTTTAGCCTTTTCTCTTTACGGCCCCAAGCTTTTGGTCTTTACCCTTTGAGGTCGTTACTCAGAAGAAAGAAGGTCAGGACTGAGACTAAGATTGGAGAGTCATCCACATGGAATTGATGTTGAAGCCACATGTGACAATGAGTTGACTCAGCGTCAGAGTATGGAAAGAATGAGAGGAGGGTCAGGACAGAACCATGAGTAGTGCCTACATTAGGAAGTATGATTACTCTACATCAGTATCCAAGGTCAAAGTTCCAGGCAAGAGCACGTAGGAAGAGAAGAGGTAGGGTCACACAGGAGCTGTGGGTTGGAATGGGAGTGGCTACCAGATCGGAGGGGATGCTTTATTCAGGCAATGAGGGAGAAACCTATCATATGAGTTAGGGGGTCCTGGAGATACTGTAAATTTTAATTGTTGTACAAAGTATGGGTTAGGTTAGATATTTTTCTATTATAGTAACATAAGCCCTATGTTACATTGTGACTACCTGGTAATTTACGTGTGCAATGACTGGAAGAAAAGCAGCAACTATAAGGAACAGATTTATAGCCCTTCGTCTCCACTTTGTTTTGTCCTTTTATTTTTACACCAGAAAGTATGAGACTTTGTCATCCTTCAAACCTTGCAGCAGTTTGTTGAGCTTCATCCATTAATACAAAGCTGCAGACATTTGGCAGGTGATCACGGCATACTATTGTCTAAAGGACACAGTGACTTACCTGCTGCAGCCTCCTTGTTTGGAAACAACTTGTTGTCAACTGCCATGCTGATGTCATAGAACACCTCATCCTCATCACGGTCGGCATCAAACTGGGGGAAATCAGGACAGACAAGTTTGGAATGTGAGAATGCACAAATTAGTTAATTCAAAAATATAATGAGCATCCATCACACAACTGTATCTCTAATGTAGCAGAACAACAGGAATTAAAGCATTTGAGTCTTTAATCAGACATTTAGAGGGTTTTAAGCCCAGACCTCCTATCGAACAGAGAAGAGTATTAGGGAGTAAATGTACAGTCACTTATGGTTAAAAAAATGTGTAATGTTTTCTTAATTTATGGGGTACATTTGGAAAAAATAACTGAAATTTACCTTGTGGCTTTCTGACTTCATTTTTCTAATTTGAAAAACATGAAAATATATAGTTCTAAATAGTAAGAGGAAAGATGTTCTAACCTTATTGTTTAAAAATAAAACAAAATGAAACAACAAAGAAAAAACAACAAAGAGGCTGGGCGCAGTGGCTCACCCCTGTAATCCTAGCACTTTGGGAGGCCGAGATGGGCAGATTGCTTGAGGCCAGGATTTCGAGACCAGCCTGGCCAACATGGCAAAACCCTATCTCTACTAAAAATACAAAAAAATTAGCCAGGAATGGCAGCACATGCCTGTAGTCCTAGCTACTAGGGAGGCTGAGGCACGAGAATCACTTAAACCCGGGAGGCAGAGGTTGTAGTGAGCCAAGATGGCACTGCTATACTCCAGCCTGGGGGACGGACTGAGACTCTTGTCTCCAAAAACAACAACAACAACAACAACAACAACAACAACAACAACAAAACCTCCAAACCAAATTTCAGATACTATACTAGATACAGTATTATAGATGTAGTCTATGGATACTACGGATTTAGATGTAACAAAAATTATAGATTTAAATATTTATTTTACCATTCTCTAAAATTTACAAAATTTTAAATATTTTTAAATGACATAGTTATATTTATGAATTCGCTATTTTCTGAGTTTTTCAGTGGTTTGTTAACACATTTTTGTCTCTTTAGTTTTTAAAAATAGCTTTACTATGACAAAAACAAGCAATGCAGAAAAGACTCCCTATTCAATAAACAGTGCTGGAATAACTGACTAGCCATATGCAGAAGATTGAAGCTGAACTCCTTCCTTACACCATATACAAAAATGAACTCGAGATAGATTAAAGACTTAGATGTAAAACCCAAAACCATAAAATTCCTGGAAGACAACTTAGGCAATACTATCCTGGACATAGGAATGGGCAAAGATTTCATGACAAAGATACAAAAAGCAATAGGAACAACAGCAAAAATTGACAAGTGGGATCTAATTAAACTTGAGAGCTTCTGCACTGCTAAAGAAACTACCAACAGAGTAAACAGACAACCTACAGAACGGGAGAAAATATTTGCAAACTATGCATCTGACAAAGGTCTACTATCCAGCATCTTAAAAAGAACCTAAACAAATTTACAAGAGTAAAACAAATACCCCTATTAAAAATTGGGCAAAGGACATGAACAGACACATCTCAAAAGAAGACATACATGCAGTCAGCAAGCATATGAAAAAAAAGCTCAATATCACTGATCATTAGAGAAATGCAAATCAAAGCGACAATGAGATACCATCTCATACCAGTCAGAATGACTATTACTAAAAAGTGAAAAAATAACAGATAGTAGTGAGGTTGTGTTGGTGGGAGTGTAAATTAGTTCAACCATTGTGGAAAGCAGTACAGCAATTCCTTGAAGAATAAAAGCAAAACTACTATTTGACCCAGCAATCCCATTACTTGGTGTATACCTGGAGGAGTATAAATCATTCTCCCACAAAGACACATGCACGCGAATCTTCATTGCAGCGCTATTCACAATAGCAAAGACATAGAATCAACCTAAATGCCCATCAATGACAGACTGGAAAAAGGAAATGCAGTACATATACACCATGGAATACTATGCAGCCATAAAAAAGAATGAAGTCATGTCTTTTATGGGAACACGGATGGAACTGGAGGTCACTGTCCTTAGAAAACTAATGCAGGAACAGAAAACCAAATACCACATGTCCTCACTTGTAAATGGGAGCTAAATGATAAGAACTTATGAACACAAAGAAGGAATCAATAGACACTGGGGTTTACTTGAGTGGGGAGAGTGGGAGGAGGCAGAGAAACAGAAAAGATAACTATTAGATACTGGGCTTAATACCCGGGTGATGAAATAATATATATAACAAACCTCCATGACATCTGTTTACCTATGTAACAAACCTTTACATGTGTCCCCAAACCAAAAATAAAAAGAAAAAAGAAAAAAATATATAACATGACAAATAAAAATAAAATAGCTTTACTGAGTTCTGAGTGATATACAATGAACTGCACATATTTAAAGTATGCAGATTATAAGTTTTAAAAATTGACAAGTGGGACCTAATTAAACTGAAGAGCTTTCGCAGAGCAAAAGAAACTACCAACAGAGTAAACAGACAACCTACAGAATGAGAGAAAATATTCACAAACTACACATCCAACAAAGCCCGCCTCGGCCTCCCAAAGTGCTGGAATTGCAGGCGTGAGCCACCGCGCCCGGCCCAAAGGTCTAATATCCAGAATTTATAAGAAACTTAAACAATTCAACAAGCAAAAAACAAATAACCCTATTAAAAAGTGGGCAAAAGACATAAACACTTCTCAAAAAAAGACTTGAAAAAATGCTCCACATCATTAATCATCAGATAAATGCAAATCAAAACCACAATGAGATACCGTCTCACACCAGTCAGAAGGCTATTATTAAAAGATACAAAAAAAAAGATGCTGCAGAGGCTGCAGAGAAAAGGAAATGTTTTTACTATCAGTAGGAATACAAATTAGTTCAGCCACTGTGGAATGCAGTTTGGGGATTTCTCAAAGAACTTAAAACAGGTTCTTTGACCATTTGACCCAGGAATTCCATTACTGGGTATATATCCAAAGAAAATAAATCATTCTACTAAAAAGACAAATGCACTCATATGTTCATTACAGCACTATTCACAATAGCAAAGACGTGGAATCAGCCTGGGTCCCCAACAATGGTGTACTGGATAAAGAAAGTGTGGTACATATACATCAGAGAATAAGACGCAGCCATAAAAAAAGAATGAAATCATGTCCTTTGCAGCAACATGGAAACATCTAGAAGCCATTATGCTAAGTGAATTAGCACAGAAGCAGAAAACCAAATACCACATGTTCTCACTTATAAGTGGAAGCTAAACACTGTTTACACAGGGAGATAAAGATGAGAACAACAGACACTGGGGGCTGCTAGAGAGGGGAGGGAAGGAGGGGGACAAGCTTTGAAAAACTACCTATTGGGTACTGTGTTCACTACCTGGGTGATGGCATCAATTGTACTCTAAACTTCAGCAGCATGCAACATACCCAGGTAACAAATCTGCACAGGTACCCCCAAATCAAAATAAAAGTTGAAATTATATTTTAAAAGACAAATTATAAGTTTTGACATGTGTATACACCCGTGAAACCATCATAAAAATAAAAATTGTTAACATACTATCACCCCCCAAAGACTCCTCTTGTCCCTTTGGAATCCCTTTTCCTTCTCTTCTCCCCAGGTAACCATTTATGTGCTTTCTGTAACTACAGATTATTTTGCAAATTCTAGATTTTACATAAAATGAATAATACAGTATGTAATTTTTTTTGTCTGCGTTCTTTCACTCAGCACTATTATTCTGAGATTCATCAATGTTGTTATATCCTTAGTTAATTCCTTTTCATTATTCATTAGTATTCCATTGTGTGGATATATTGTTAAGCCCAACCTGGATATCCTTCATCTCAGACATTGTAGTTTTCAACTCCAAATATTTGATTTGAGCATTTAAAAAAAATTTTCCATGTCTCCATTTAAGCTTTTGAACATCTGAAATATACTTACAGTTACTTTTAATGTCTTTCTCTGTTAATTCTAACATTTGTGTCAGTTCTGAGTCAGTTTCGGTTTTTTTTTTTTTTTTTTTTTTTTTACCTCATTATGGGGTATATTTTCCTGTTTCTTTGCATGCCTGCTAATTTTTTCTGGATGCCAGACATTTACCAGGCATTGACCTTGTTGGATGCTGGATATTTTTGTATTTCTATAAATATTCTTGAGCTTTGTTCTGGAATGTAGTTTAGTTACTTGGAAACAGTTTCATCTTTCAGGTCTTGCTTTTAAGATTTGTTAGGTTGGATCAGAGCAGTGTTTAGTTTAGGGCTAATTATTCCCCACTGTTGAGCAAAGCCTCTCCCCAGTGTTTTGTGAATTATAAAGTTTTCCAGTCTGTCTGAAGGACACTGGCACTACTCCAAGCCTGGTGTGAGCACCAGGTACTGTTTCCTCTAATCCTTTTGGATGTTTTTTTTTTTTTTTTTCCCTCAGCATCAGGCAATTTCCTCATGTGCATGCAAAAGAGCTTGGATTTGAATTTGGGATGACTGACACTTTTGTATCCTACCAGGTGGCATAGGATCAATATAGTAAGACAAAGGCAGCCGTTCTCCTCCAGTAAGTGTTAACACAGCCCTTCTGTCTAAAAGCAAGGGGAGAAAACCAGGCAATCATTAGGACAGACACAAAGTGGCCACCGAATATCTGATTAGGCCCTCTGCATATTTCCAGAGTTATCTGTGCATCTCTCTCATCTCTGATACTTTTTTCTTGCAACTCTAGCCACCTTGATTTCTTGGACTCTCAGCTCCATCTCCTCAACTCCTGGAGTCCACCAGCCTCCAAAGGGTTTCCTTTTTCCTGCACTGTGGCCTGGAAACATCTCCAGGCTCTGAAGCAATCACAGGGCTCACTGCATTTGTTTCCCTTCTACCAGGGACCACTTCATTGCTTGATGTCCAGTGTCTTGAAAACTGTTTTCTTAAATAGGTTTTCTTCTGTTTATTTTTTTGACTGTTTCATGTGGAAAAGAAAAATCTAGTCTTTTTTATTCCAACTTGGTGAGAGGTGGAAGCCTCAACCCTTTAGCTTTTATTCTTATTTATT